CCCCAAAACCCCAAAACCCCAAAACCCCAAAACCCCAAAACCCCAAAACCCCACAGGCTTTCGAGCCAGTTGAAGAGTTTAAAGGAAGATTTAGAACATTTTTGGAAAAGGAGGTAGGCAGTATGGAGTATTTGGATCAGAGATGAGGAAGAATGTAGCTTAGACTCTGGTTTGATGCAGGTTTAGTGGAAAATTACAGCAGATGGATAAGAATTGATGGAATAGAAAGTTTAGAGTGAGATACTGTAAAGAATCAAGGTGTTGTGATTCTATTGTTTTACATAAATTATAGTCAATTAGACGTCCTTTTCCTTCCTCTCTAATTTAGCTTCTCTCTTCTTCATTGAGCCTCCCTATAGAATTAGATTTTGAGTAACTTACATAGTTCGATGGGTCCATTGATGGGAAGTAGCCTCCTTTATCAGCTTCAATTTTGATTTTCTTAGTTGGTTCTCCAGTCTTTGGGTCAACAAGGTCTCTAGTTCTCTTCCTAATCTTGCTTGGGTCAAGCTGGTAGTGAGCCCAGAATAGCTTCAACAACCTCTCTTTGATGTACAATTTGCTCCAGAGATGATCCATTGCTAGCTCTGCTCCTGAGCGGCTTTCAAAACATACAAATGCAAGGTTTTTAGACAGTCTTATCCTAATAGCTTGAATCTTGCCATATCTTTTAAAGAATTCGGTGATGTCTGCCTCATTTAAACCTTCTTCAACACCTCTAATCATTAGAGTAGTGATATTCTTATCCTCGGGAGGGGTTGGCTTCTCATGCTTCTTCATTTTAGTAAGAATTTTATTTGCCAAAGAGTCATTAACCCCATTAAATCTATCTCTGATACTCTGTTCGACAGACAAATTCTTAATTTTCTTCCCATTCTCATCAAGCTTTTGTTCCTCTTCTTCTGGCATTTCATGCCTATAAGGGCAGTTAGCTCCTCTTTCACAATTTCCTTTAACAAAGAAAGAGCAGATATGGGGTTGATTTCTCTTATAACTTGGATATTTCTTTGACAAAAGGGCAAGCTTTTCCTTAATCTCAGGATCACTACTTCCTCTGATCTCACTCTGAGGGATCCCTGCTGCTTCACAATCCTTCAGAAACTTATCTCTAACAGCCACAGGGAGGCCATACTCCAAATCAAAAATACAAGTCTGACACACATTCTTTGACCTTGCACAAGTCTGTCATATCTCCGTCTTCTTAAACCTTGCTTTATGTCCAGGTCTCCACCTAAAGACAGTGAAAGGCTTTATTCAGATCTTGCATTCCTTATCAAATTCCTTCTTAGTCATCCTAACATATGGATTCTCTCCTAAACACACCTCACAAAGAATGGGAAATTCAGACTTCTCCCACTGCTCCTTAATGATCCCCGCTCTGATCCTATACCCCTTCTCAGTCATTTTAAGATTATTATTATATTTGGAGTCGAATATTTGGGGTTTTGGGGTTTTGGGGTTTTGGGGTTTTGGGGTTTTGGGGTTTTGGGG